GACTGTAACCATGGCAATGAAACAATATACGATAGGATGAATGTAAAGCTAATGTTGTCCCATGTAAACTATCACAGAATTCACAATAAAACATTAAAAAAAAAAATGCCCATGAGCTGTGCTTAGACTTACGAAAGCCTGTGTTCAAGGCCATCTGCACTCTTTTGGAAAATCTTAGTTGGATAGCAAATAAAATGATAGTTCCCTATGTGATTCTTACTCCTTATGATTTCTAATACTCAATAAAGCATTGATTTTATAGAAACTTACAAACTAAAAAAAAAAAAAAGATTGGAGGAAGACTTATTTATAACAACCTTCGAAATGCAAGTGGCACAACTTTCCTTGCTGAAAGCGAAGAGGACTTGAAGCACTTACTGATGAAGATCAAAGACTACAACCTTCAGTATGAATTGCACCGCACTATAAAAACAAAATCCTCACAGCTGGACCAATAAACAGCATCACAATAGACAAAGAAAAGAGGGAAGTTGTTAAATATTCTAGTCTACTTAGATTTACAATCAACACCCATGGAAGCAGCAGTCAAGAAATCAGACGACACATTGGGCAAATCTGCAAAAGACCTCTTTAAAGTGTTCAAGAACAAAGATGTCACTTTGAGAACTAAGGTGCACTTGACCCAAGCCATGGTATTTTCAACCATCTCATATGCATGTGAAAGCTGGACAGTGAATAAAGAAGACCAGAGAATAATCAAGGCATCTGAATTATGATGTTGTCAAGGCATCTGAATTATGATGTTGTCAAAGAATAGTGAATATACAGTGGACCACCAAAAGAAAAAACAAATCAACTATGAAAGAATTATGACCAGATTGCTCTTTGGAAGAAATAACAAGAAGACTTCTCTCTCATACTTCGGACATGTTATCAGGAAACACCAGTCCCTGGTAAGGTGGAAGATCAATGAAAGAAAGGAAGACCTTCAATGAGATGATTGGCACAGTGACAGCAAAAATGGTGCAAACATAGTAACAACTGTGATAATGCACAGTGTTTCATTCTGTTATGGACAGAGCAGCTATGAGTTGGAATTCACTAGACAGTCCCTAACAACAATAGCAACAACTGTTATAATTAGCAAAGGAATTGTTGTTGTTAAGTGCCATCGAGTCGACTCTGACCCATAGCGACCCTGTATAGGATTTCCAAGGAGAAGCTGGTGAGTTCAAACCACCGACCTTGCAGTTCAAATGACTTTACAGTCTGATGCATTTAGCCCACAGTGCCATAAATTTATTAGTTTTTAAATGAGGGCTAGACCGTTCCTCAGAGAGGAGGTTTTGGAGACCCAAGTGGTTTAAAGACATAAGGGAAGGAAGAAGATCCAAGGCAAAGAAAAAATGATACAGAGACAGGACAGACAGCAATGGAATAACATGACAAAGCACATGGCAGGGAGGGAGCACTAGAAATGTAAGTGAACTCCCCAAAGGTAGGTGCTTGCATGGGAACCAGTATGGGTGTCAGCAAGTATCAAGAGCAAGAGGAAAAAAGTGTCTGAGGAATGAACTGGAAAGTTCATTCCTAAAGTGCAGGAGAGAGACAGATGCAGAGTGGCAAAGACAAACAGAGGTCAAAGACACGAGCCTTTGGCTCAATACAGGCCTGGGACAGAGCCATCCCTGGCACAGGACCAGAGGGATTCCACGCGGCCGCTGGCCAGCTCTGACGTTCCGAAAGATTACCTGCAATGGGAAAGCCTACTGCTCCTCCATCAAACACATAAAACCAGACATGGAACGTCCAGACACCACTCCCGAAGGTGGACATCCCTCCAGAGGCCACCCAGTGAGACGTGGAGGACAAGCCCAGAGGCAGAAAGAGGGAGGCAGCAAGGGTGCCCTGCAGGTGAGGATCCAGGAAAGAGAAGCTCCGGGTAGGAGGGGGCTCTGAGCACCTTGGTGGTCCCCTCTGAGCCAGCGCTTCCAGCAACAGTCCTGCTGGGAGTCTAACCAGAATCTGCCAGCTGGACTCGCTGGCCTTACTCCTTGGTCCCTCTGACGTCCCTGCCTCCTGCAGGAGCGGAGATGGGGACGAGAGTTGGAGCCGCGGTGGCTGTGGGGCTGTGGGTCTCGGTGACAATGGGCGTGGCATCGGACCTGGGCGTGCGTGAGCCCCAACGCTGTCTCCTGTCCCGCTATCG